CCAGCGGTTCTTGGGGACAGAACCTGCCTGCCGCGAGCTGGTTCCAAGGGTCCGAGACCCGGTCCCAGCGAGGCAGAGCCTGGGGGGGCCCTAGGTCCCTGGTGGGCACTTGCCCTTGGAGGGGACCGTGGGACTGCCTGGCTTTAAGGGATACAGTTTTGCTCACCCTCCCCCAAACCAGCTTCCAGGCAAGGGTCTTTGTTCCTCAGGCTGACAGAGGGACACACACAGCACCCAGAAACATGGTGGCTGTGTCACAGGGTGAGCAGGGCAGAGCAGGGGCTATTGATGGGCTCTGGGATGTCGGGGTGTTGGGCCACCACATGCAGGCTCTGCCCCAGATCAACAGGCCCAAGGTCTTGGTTCCCTGTGGCCAATGCAGTCTGAAAATACTCTGTGGAAAATCCCAGAGAGAAATGAGCCATGTTTTAAATAATTTTTATTTCAGTCTATTGTGTTGTTATTGTTGGTACTAATCCCTCAGCAGACTTCATTTACATGTGACACTGTATTCTGGGGTGGGGGGAGATGTGTCAAGTGTCTGAGGCTTGGTGCTAAGGGGGAAATGACAGGGGACTCATGCACAACAGCAGGGAAGACAGCCCAACCGAGGGCAGGAATAGCATGCTCAAGGGCCCTGGGGTTGGAGGAAGCAGGTCCCTGAGGCTTGGAGGGAGAGGAGTTAGTATGGTGAGCAGAGACCATAGTATGGTCGGGCAGAGACAGGGGTAAAGCACTGTAGAGGCAGGCACTGAGGGAGGTCCCAGGGGCCGTGGGAAGGACAAGAGGTGCCCTTCTCAGAGCCATGCAGAGCTGGCAGAGGGAATCACACCATGCAGAACACCACACCATTCCCTCCCGACAGACAGCCCACGGCTCCCGTCCCCAGCAGGACAAGGCCCACATTCAGGCCGGCGGCCAGTGGCGCTGCTTCCCCACACGGGCCCTGGCTTGACCGCTTGCAGCCTCCAGCAGGGACTGTGTCCCCAACACGGCTCAGCACATTGCTGGTCAGGGGAAGGCTGGGTGCCTGAGGTGGCCAGCATCGGGCACAGGCCTCCCGCTCCCTGGCCCCCATTACTGCAGCCCAGGACTGCCTCTCGCCGCAGCTTGGCCCTGCGGGTTCCACACCAGGTGAGGTCCCCAGTCTCGGCGTCCTGAGCCTCTCTGCTGAGTGAAGCCCAGCAGGGCACGGCAGGAGGGAGGCAGGGCTGGCCCGAACCCCGGGCCTCACACCCTGTGGCCTGGGACCGCAGCCTCCCGTCTCCCGTTCCTCCCCATTCCTCCCGCACATGTCAGCTGTCTGTGCCATCCCTCAATGACTGCAGCCTCCCCAGCTACCAAGCCTGCCTGAGGACAGAGCTTTGTCAAAGCCTGTGGCCCCCGGGCCTGGGCTGCTGGGAACAGACCAGCAGTGTTCCACGGTGGCCTCAGGTGGTGCCCACACAGTGCCCTGCACACCCTCACTGCCCTGGTGCAGGCAGAGATGCCTGGCCCCAGGCGTGGCTGTCCTTTGGTGTGGCCCCTGGCTTCCTGTGCGGCCGGCCCTCATCCCAGAGTCCCCTCCATGTGTCGCCCAGCTAACGGGGAGAGCTCGAGGAAAGTCACCTGCCCAGTGCCATGCCAGGAGAAGCCAGCCAGTGGCCATACCAGCCAGACCTGCCCTGGGAAGGGTTAACTCAGCCCCTTTGTCCCACAGTTGCCATGGGGACAGTTCCTGTCCTCCAGGAAGCAGGAGAGCAGTTTCCTGTTTTGGAGGAGGCTCAGGGCAGTTTTCCTCCAGCCACCCGCCCACCCGAGAGGGCAGGAAGCCAGCCAGGCCCCTGCTACTGGGTGTGTGTTGAACCAGCCTGGGCGTCGAGGAGGGCCAGCCTCGGGTGCGGCCAGCGGCCACCAGCCTGACGGGCGAGGGAAAAGTGCCTGGCGGAAGAGGGTGGCCGCTTCCTCCTAGACCTTGACCCCACCCAATGATAACCAGGCCGCCCGGCCCGGCCGCCCCCACCCTTCCTTGGGGAGCCAGCAGAGGCCCTGCCCACCATCCTTGCCCCCCTGCCCAGGGGCACCCTTTCCACCCACCCAGCCTGCAGCCTGCCCAGCTCTGAGTGGGAACCAAGCAGAGCCTCCTCCAGGAAGCCCTCCAGCGTGCATGCCCGAGTTCAGGCCTGATCTTCCATGGCCCTGACTCTGCCTCACAGGTCAGCCCAACTCCAAGCTCGACCCGACTGCCCACCAAGCGGTGTCACCACACCATTCCCTCCCGACAGACAGCCCACGGCTCCCATCCCCAGCAGGACAAGGCCCACATTCAGGCCGGTGGCCACTGACGCAGCTTCCCCGCACACGCCCGAGGCTTGACCACAGCACACTTCTCTCGGTGCCCCTGTGCACCACCTTGCCCTTTTCCAAGGCTCAGGCTCTTCCATTCCCTGCTGCTCTTCCCGGAAGCCCAGCCTGTGAGCTCCACCTGGCCCCACTTCCCACATGGCCCTGTGTCTCAGTCCTGGCCCCGAGCCCCTGCCTCTGACACCACCATGAACTCTTGAGGGACAGGCGAGTGCAAGAGCCCAGCACCACATTCACCTGTCCCCACTTCAAGTGAGCTCTTGCTGCATCACAGCGGAGACAGAGGGTGACAGGTACAACGATGTCCGGAGGCCAGAGCGGCCGGCCTGCCACTCCTCTCTCGGCTTAGGGAAGCATAGGGTGAGGGTCCCCTCCCGTGCAGCCTGAGAAGCCAGCACTGGCCTGGGGCTGAACGCGCTGCAGCTGTGACTCTAGGGCCAGGATTTCCTTTGTCACAGACTGATGTGTCCCCAGTGACAGAAAGCAGACCTCACAGAACGGAAACATGGGGACCTGCTGGGGAGAGGGACCTTGAAGGAGGAGGGTTCTGTCTTCCAGGGAAAAAAGCTCAACGGTCTCCCCTTTCACAGTGGGACAGGGGCCACCTGACCAGGCCCGCGGATCCAGCTGGGCTCCCGCACAGTGCCTGTTCTGCCCCTGCTCTGCCCGCGGTATGCCGCAGGTGCCTGACAAGCGCGCCTTTCCAACCTCCTACTTGGACTGTGAGGGCGTGGATCCTGGGTGCTGGGGAGCTCAGTGTGTAGCATTTATTGAGCACTGACTATGTACTCTTATAACCAGTGAGCATTAACTCAGCATCTGACAGGAGCCAGGGTGCGGAAGCGGGAGGAAAACAGCCTGAGGCCAGGGTCAAAACCCAGTACCTCTGAACTACGTGCAGGGCAGGGGCTGCGCCTCCATTTTGTCTCCTTAGGAAAAACAAAGTGACAAGAGTCTCAACGCTGTGCCCCCCCCTCCGCGCTGGCACGCCCTTCAGCCCAGCAAGTGCAGACCTGTGCTTTGCCAAGGGGCCCTGCGTGCCATCTTCCATGCAGCCTTCGCCTGCCTCAAATCCCACCTTTCACAGCGGGGGAGGGGCTGCGCTGCCCCAGGCCTCATCCGGTCCTCCTCTCCACCGTCCACTGGCGCTGCAGACTCAGAACCCCTGAGCCACCCTCACCACTCCTGCCCGGGCCCAGGTTGCTCATTCAGCCGCTGATTCTCAGAGACAAGCTCACTGTTTCCAGAAAGATTTGCTCTCTGCATTACATTTCTACACTTAGCTATTTGTGCCCACATCCAAACACAGACGGCTCCCCACCATCACCCGCCCTGCCTGCTTCCCTCCCTCCCTCCTTCCATTTCCCTCCTCCCTTCCCTGCCTCCCTCCCCCAACTCTTTCACTTCAACCACCTCCACCACTTTGGTCCCTGACCATCCCCATCGCCTGGAGCAGCTCCACCATCACCACCACCACCTCCGTCCCCTGGCACAACTCTGTTACTACCGCCTCCCCCAAGTGGAGCAACTCTGCCATTACTACCATCTTCCTCACCACGACCTCCACCACCTTGACCACCTCGGTCAGCTCAGGGAACTGCACCCGACCGCCGCTTCCTCCTTCTCCTCACACCCACTCCTTCCCTCTCCCAAGTCTATCATCTCCACCTCACCCATGGTTTCCTTGACCTCCAGCCCTTCCTCTGCACCAAGCACTACACGTCCTTCATCCTCACCATGACATCCTCCACCTCTGCCGTCTCCACACCCTCTCCCTCCACCTCCATTTCTACTACCCTCTCTGCGCTCTTCCCCCTGGACCACTTCTCCGGGCTTCCCCTCCAGGCCTCCCCTCCCGGCCACCTCTGCCAGTCCTATCAGAGCGCAGGCACAGGTCCACAAAGTTTGCTAAGAGGCTGTCTAGTTAACACAAGATGTAGCCATGGATTACTCTTTTACTCCAGAGCCACGCACAATCCTTCTCAGAAAGCTGGAGGGGGAGGACTCTAAGGGGCTCCGAGTTGGAAAGGGCACCGGGAAGGACCAAATTTAATTCCTGATTTTACAGTTGGAGAAACTGAGCTGCACCTCGGACTGTACCGAAACCCTCAGGCTGTCTCAACAGGTGGGGCCTCTGCACCCCGCGGAGCCCCAGCCTGCTGCTCCCCACCAGCGAAGGCTGGAGGTCCTGGGCCAGTGAACCGGAAAGTCCCGGCCGTGGGTCCTCCAGGCTCCGAGGTCCCCTCGGCCCGAGCCCCTTCCAATGCACACAGGGCGCAGCCACCCTCACCCGCCCCAGGCCAGAGGGTGCAAGAGCGAGAAAAAACCAAAACACCCTGCGAGGAGGAAAAGTCGGGGAGGCGGGCGTGCGCTCAGGCGGGAGGACCCAGCCGCGTCTCCACCACACGCCGCCCCCTCCAGAGTCCCCCGTCTCCAGACGCGCCGCCCCCACCCTAAGCCCCCTCTGCCTCCACCGCGCTAGCCGCCCGGCCCCCTCCGTCCACGCCG